GTGTCTGGGATGGAGATGGGCTGGACATGTTTAGTTCCCTAGGAACAGAGGAAGCTGTCTTCTCCCAGGTCAAGCAGACTCTGCAGCAGTAAGCAGATAAGAAGCTTACTGATGAAGCTCAAAACATGTGGTATAGTGAGAGGGTACCTGTTTCCTGTGTTATAGTGAAGTGTACACAAATCCTCTGCTGTTGTATGAAACTGTCTAGTATTTTGTACGTTAATTTCTTGGTATTTTCAAAAGTAGTTACTATGGTCACCACAAAATTATTTGATGCTAAGAAAACATTATTCTACAAAGATTTTAAAGAAAGATTGCGAGCAGTCCCATAAGGCATACCAGTATAGGCTACTATCATATGAGAAACCACTCATGTCACCTTCTGTATGTTTGACCAAAACTTTGCTCTATGTAATATTTAGGAAATTGATGATATACTCAAAGTTGGTCCCTCCTGAATTGCATACTTGCAAAGAGATATTAACATTTCATACCTTCAGAGTGACTGAAAGGCTAAGGGAAAACATTTCTTACACCTGTAAAAATATCATAGTTTGATATGTTTACAATCTCATTAATCCAGACATTCTACTTTCAAACAATACCATTCTGATACAAAAGATATGAAGACACATACACCTTGATTCAGATTTTTCAATCTCGGCAAGAGAAAATTTCAGAGCAAATATTGACAGTACACCTTTTGGGATGTAAATGCCATGGTGCTGTGAAACGACAGGATGCACAAAGTATTCACCACAATATTACTTCACAGATTTATCAGGGTTACAATTTCACATTTGAAATTCTCTCATTACGTTTGTTTTCAAGATACAGAAATCCAATATGCTTCTCTGAAAACGTAGCTCACATTTTCAAAGAATCCTCAACACTGTATGGAGAACTATTTAGGCAAGGATCTTGGTCAAGTTGATTGACCCTGTCTGTTTTCAGTGTTGTGTGTATTCTTCAGTCAGAAGCATGAAGCCAGCTCTCTCCTACCAGCCTTCCAAAAATGGACCCTGGTTGATATGAGGAATATTTCACACCACCCAGGAATGACAGAATCCAGGCAAGTCACCCAGCCTGACCACCAGATTCAATTTTGCTTCTAAACAAGTAAGGGATCGCCTCTGTGGTGTAGTCACGGGTTAGAGCGTCCGACCAGAGAGCGGAAGGTCGCGGGTTCGATCCCCGACCGCGTCATACCAAAAGACGTTAAAATATGGTACTTGTTGGTCCCTGCCTGGCGTTCGGCACTAATGGGTACAACAAGGACTGGTCGGCTCAGAGTCAGTATAATGTGTCTGAGTGGGGTATTCATCCTTCACTGCGGCATGGTATCTCAGTGGGCTAGCACTATAAAACCAGCTTCAGTCTGGGCTAGTACAAGCAGCCGCACATACACATACACATGCATGCAATATTCTCAAGCACGACGTAAAACCCAATTTCACCTCACCTCACCTAAACAAGGACCTATTTTATGACAGATTTCCATGGAATGCACATTTCTAAATATGAATGCTGGAATTGTCACCAAAATAATAACAATTGGATTCAAGAACATTGTATTCATACATATTCTATTACCTATTTGCATTGATATAACATACACTATGACAATTAAAGGAACTCTGTTTAGTATAATTTTAATACTATGATTAGGAAGCCTTTCACCTTGCTCTGGTTGCTAGAGATCTGATGATGATTTGCTTTTGACTGGAGCAGGTCATACCAACAGACTGAAGGAGTGTTGTATTTGAAGTGAGTGAGTAAAAAGGGGTTTACACAAGAGTCGACAGCGGTTAGATACATCATGATGACATGTACCAAGCATCAACCAGAAAAACAAGTTGTCATAGCGATAACAAACACCAGTCAGTTGGGGCAGGATGACACACAGAGACAAGCTAGATATAACAAAGTTTTAGACTGGGATTTCATTACTGCTCAGGGGCGGTGGGGTAGTTTAGTGGTTAAAGCGTTAGCTCGTCACGCCGAAGACCCGGGTTCGATTCCCAACATGGGTACAATGTGCGAAGCCCATTTCTGGTGTCCCCCGCCGTGATATTGCTGGAATATTGCTGAAAGTGGCGTAAAACTTTACTCACTCACTCATCACTGCTCAGCGTAGCATCATATTTTGACAATTGGTGTCATAAGGGGAAACTGACTTGTTTCCTTCATCTGAAAATCAAACTGATATTCAGCAACAATGTCTGCCTGCTCTTCTCTATTACAGCCTGGATCCATTCAGTGAAACGGTTAGTAGCAATTGCTTCATCAAGGTATTTTGCAGTGCAGAAAGGGCTGGGTGGAAGGAAAAATACCAGTAATGTGTTTCAGGGATGGCACTAGGGCATATATTGTCACTGAAGGGGTCTTAGCACTATATAGAAGGAAAGAATTGTAACAAGGTCAATACACCAAAATTGTTTCAGGGCAACTTCAACAATGCTCCCTGTATATACCCCTATTAAACTATACCCTGTTTCATTTTATATAGAGCAAAGACCACAAGTGGCAACATACACCTTGATGCCATCTTTTTGTGTTACAAGCCCCTGTGAGACGGACAAACAATGGTTAACTCATTCTAGTCAGTTGACAAGTTCTGGTACACTCTAACCTGGAATCCCCACTGGGTGGTTAATAGTGGTTTAAGGAAAGGGTCTCCCTCATGGGGATTCAAGATTAGAATCGGTCCCCAGCCTGTGCTGGATGTAAGAGGTGACTTAATGGATAGGGTGGTCAGGCTGTGTGACTTGGCTGAATATTAGTGTGTCATACAACAGGAACACTGCTGAGGGCAGCTTTAAACACCAAACACACAGAAGGAAGAGGGTGTGCTTCACATTAAGTGAGAATCCTGAACATGAGGACATTGCCCTTCTGGATAGATGGAAAGCTGAAAGACATATATACTTGTGCCATTTGCATAAATATTGAACTGAAAAGGACTTGGTGGCAGGCTGTCTAAACTGTGACAGAACATTCATATGACATAATAAAAGCTCCATAATTGCTACTGACATTATTACCAGGGTTGGTTCAGGTGGGATGTTCAGGTGAGAACTGTTCTCATGCAACCAATGCTTGTTGGTCATCTGGGGAGATTCAGACATTGTACCATGTCTGTGTAAGCAATGCAGGGCTCCAGATAAGGGCTGTATCGGTGTATGTACAGATAAAAAATATGCACGATACGGTAGGAAATGATTTAGAAAACATAGCAAATACGCACAACAGCAATGTTGTACGGTCTTAGAATAATTTACAAACGTATTTATCTGAAAAAGTCTTGTTTTATTTTTCATTGACCTGTTTACACAAGAATCAATGTTGTGGTGCATACATGAAACGAAACACAAGATTACTGATACTCCATTAATTTCCATTCAGTACTCTAAATGTCCTCTTAAGGTTTTCCAGTACTCCTATATTGAACAAATAAGGAGTATGTACTCCTGATGTTAAAAATTTATCTGGAGCCCTGCATTGTTCATAATATCAACACCTGGATTGTCTGGTACAGATTCTGTTATTTACATGCCACCAATATATAGCTGAAATACTGTTTAGTGTATCTTAAGTCTTATCATTGCTACTTTGAAATCTTTGAAAATGGTCAGTTTTACGCTTAATGGTATTTTGAAAATAATGATCATAGTTTGTCATACAAGCTTCTTCATTGTTGTATTCACCATAAAGTGGCACATAAATAGGAAATATGCTTTTATTTGGTTTGTGTTCTTACACACATCAGCAATATCCTGGGCCAGGATGACAGCATAGTCAGCCTCCCTGCCATTACACTGTATGAGGATGCTGGTCAGCTCAGCCACAACATCCCATATTAGGAGTCACAGTGTCCCCATATTAGGAGGCTCTCACCAGCACCCGAGATACAAGGGTTGTACACTGCATGAAACAATACAGAATGGAAATATGCCACAGACCTGAGTATCCCATATGATATTTTGTCATCCTCCACATCTGAGTCTTACCATGCCTTAACCATTACCTATTCCACAACATCCTCCCTTGAATGCAGACATGAAAATAGAAAAAATCCCAGAAATTTGGTCATGGTGAATAATGAACACAATTATCATGTATTCGTGAGACACTTCAGTGAAGAGAGGAACAAGCAGCACCAGATATCTGATGTGTTAGCCCATCACAAATATCAGGGTAACTTACCCCCAAATTCAGCCTGTGCGCTATAATGAGGGGACACATGTCAATAGTTAACCGCCCATGTCCTTATAATGAGCCATATCAAAGATGTCTGTCCCCTTCAGCCAGTAGAAGCAAAGCTTCCTGGTGACTACAGACCTATATTTATGTGTGAATATCGTACAAAATGTTCACATAATGATTAAAACTGTATTTATAATTTACAACACTCGATTTGGTTTGGGTTTTTTTCTGGTTAAAGGATCACTTACTATCCTGAAACATCATAACTAATCTATGTTCAAAATATGAGCAATGTGATGTTTTCTTCTATTTGATTCTGTATGGAAAATATGGCCCCACATCAAATTTGATAAAGCACCATAAAAATGGTAGAGTAACAGTAAAGTACTAGCATATCTCGATATGTGTACGAAGTGGCTATGTTAGTCAATTATCACTTGTATAAGAAGCGTACCTATTCACATACCGTTCCCGTCGGTTGTGAAGTTGTCAACAATGAACTATCGCTCACAAACACATTCCGTCTAAAGACTAATCATTTGATATTAGTCTAATCAAATGTTGATATACTGATGATCATCCTTATGACATTCAGCCCATCACTCCGTAGCTCTTCCAAACATCGCGTTATAACGGGACAGTAAACATCACAGGTTTGTCTTGGCTAAAGACAAGGGGCTGCACAGCTAGTTGGATAACCACACTAGTACTGCTAACATACAGCTTGGAAAAACTAATAAACAGTTTTGTCAGGTTTTTAATATATTTGGAAAATGACATGTTACTGTACCTACCTGTTAGATTTCCTTCCGAAGGACAGAAGCATGGGAGTTGTCCGTTTAGCCAGGTAAAACAATCCTCTTCTCGAAATGTGTGCACGGATCAACTCTATGACACTATTCAGGTATCCGAATCAAAGGTGTGAACAGGTGCTTATTGTCTATTGTATATGCGAGTGTTGTTATAACATCAAACACCACTTACACTACTTCAAAAGCACCGGACTGACATCGTTACCGACCTTCCTCAATCTACCTGTTCAGGTGGGATATTACTCCCCTCGCGACAGCTTGACATCAAATGACCGGCCGTCAACTGAACTTTCATTAATCTTCTTATCCTCGTCATTTCCTCGAACAGCGATTACAAGTTCAAAGGTCGTGCATCTATAAAACAGTTAATCAGAATGATTGTTTATATTTTTTACCTTACGATGTTTCGAGATATATTTTTATCAACCACAGCAGCTGATTGTGTATGGATATTTTTCTCTTGAAACTAATGTCATAGAAACAGAATAGACGATCAAAGTAAGAATTATCTTTGATACAGAAGTGTGTGACTTATGTTTTGATAGCAGTAACTTTCTTACTGTAATGTTTTCGCGAATCAATTCATCCGATTCAAAGATTAAAATATATACATAACTACATTGATCAACGTTTGTGTAATTGCCCACACAGATTCATGGTTGAATACACGTAAACGCCGATCAACTTCAAATATCTTTCTGACAGCCTAGTGAGGATTTTTCCCCGATATTCCGAATTAAAGGAAGAAAGGATTTGTCTTTTGTTGCGGTCGGTTCAGACGGGCAGATAGATTAGACGGACCTCATACCAATGAGGCGGTTTGCATTTGCATCATGCATACAACAGACAGTCAAGTGACAAGTTTATTTGCATTTGGGGCCACGTGACCCATATTGCTAATACAGAAAAACTGCACACATTGCGCATGTATCATTCAAAACAATATCAAATTGGCAAATTTCTTTTTAAATACAACGACAAAGATTTATGAGTTTTGTGTTTATGGATGATAGCAGTTGATGCTTTATTTTAACAGACGGATTATTATAATAATATTCAGGTAGAAACTGTTGTTTGCTTGTCTTATAATAAGGACATATAAATAAAAAGTGAAACTTCGTCTTCAATACAATTCAATTTGTAGATAACATTTAAATCGAGCTAACTCAACGTTCAATTTCTGAGATGCACAAAATTGGCCTTGACCGTCGGCGAATTTTAACATAAAGTCTGGACTAGTTTCACTGGGATATTAAGTTCGGTCTTTATCCTACAAAATGAAGTTATATATTTGAGTCAATTTTCTTTTAAAAAGATGGTTTGTGTGAACACAAGTGATATCCCCATACGCTCATGCCACCTCAAACATGTTTCATGAATTTCGTCGCACTTTCAATCAACGTTATTGAAACATGTTTGGTTGTGAATCTTGATATCAACGCGATCAAAAGGAAATGAAAGAAACTCAAGGAACCTACGTGGCCAACTTTTTACACTAAAACTACGAGATATTAATTAAATAATAAATTTCATGAAAACAGATACTGTAAAATGTGTTCTGATACATGTAGTAAAATGTCCATTGTCCATTGGAATACATTAACATAACACACCATATAGCATACACAATAGTCTGTCGTACAGACCCTGAAGCAAATATATCCAAGAAAGCCCACGCAAGTCTAGAAAATGTGGCAAATCTAGATTTCCTCAGCTTCAGATGAAAATGAAGAAAGTCTCAGGGCTCCTTTTCATTATATATATTTTTTAACTATGAACTATTTTTCAGTAAAATATGTTCATTTCAGAGACTAGTTGTTAGTCTACATACCCAACTACTAGTATATAAACTATTAGTGGACGACATACAGAGACGGACATGCACCTATACAATCGCCTTGCCGCACCGCAGCATGTACATGTTGGCTCATACTATTAATATGAACAGCTGACTCCTATAGCGATCGCTGGCTTAAAAAAGAACGCGAAATTGCTTCGTATGGATCGTTTTTATACAGCATGTTGTGACTGACTTGTCTGATCTTGACTGGACTACTGGGTGTTCGTTGTGATGCAGCAAGTGTATGACTGACGTAAATGTAAAGGCACATGGTTCGGTTCCTTTGAGTTACAGCATAAAAGGAAGTTAGGTACACAGAATAGCATGTTTTCTTTATAGCAAGAACCTCCCACAACACGACTTTTGTCGATGAAGTTTGAGGCCCCAGTTACTGTACTGACTATTCATGACATGAATGGTTACTGTTTGTTGGTGTTGTTTTCGAGTTTTTAAATCATTGGTGGGGTTTAAAATCATCAAACGTTCGGTAGACTTCACGGCGGCCACAGTAAACCTTACCGTGCTATATCAACTGTTTTTCTCTTCTTCTTTTTTTCAAATTTGACAGTTGACCCAAATCATGCGCTATGTGTGAACAGAAGCGTGGAGCTGGAAAGTCATTGCATAGTTTCGAGTCAGCCTTGCGTCTCAAAAACCGTGTGCTATTTTGAGGGCGGTGGTTGAAGTTACTTTCCGTAACTCTCCGGAAGACGATATCCATTGACAGTCTCTCGAACGATGTCTCCCGTAACGTCATAACTATACAGTAAATACATAATCGCGATTTGTAACACGTCATATGCTTGTTTTATCTTTGTTGTTTGTTTGTGTGCGTCCGTTGGGTGCGATGCGTGTGTGTGATTTTGCTTAAAGCCGCATACCACAATCATATGGCGTCGCCTTGTAAATAAACCATTAAGTATGGGGTTGAGTGAGTGAGTTTAGTTTTACGCCGCACTCAGCAATATTCCAGCCATATGGCTGCGGTCTGTAAATAATCGAGTCTGGACCAGACAATCCAGTCATCAACAGCATGAGCATCGATCTGCGCAATTGGGAACCGATGACACGTGTCAACCAAGCCAGCGAGCCTGACCACCCGACACCGTTAGTCGCCTCTTAAGACAAGCATGGATTACTGAAGATTCATTCTAACCCGAACCTTCACGGGTCACTATTAAGCATGGTCCATTTAAGGTCCAAATGGATCAAAATCTCCAGTGGTTGTTGTCATGAGCAATGAACCAAGCCGACGGGGCACGTTGACATCGACCAAATCATCGAGCCCGTCCACCCATTGTTCGCCTCTTACCACCAGCACACGTTGATGGGAACTAATTCTGACCCGACATCCCCATTCATGGAGGATGTCATTGTCAATCATAACCGTCATCCAATGTCAGGGTGTTAGTTACAGGAGTCGGCCATCGTACTGCTGTCATGTATACAACCACTCTTCCTACCCCTTGACAGACTGCCCAAGGGCCTCTCTGTCTCTATATAGAGCGCCCCTCATTGTATCTATTGACATAGTCTAGCATGCATAATAAAGACATTTATACACTGGCTGAGGTACTGAAGGCTGTCTTTACATATACCTTATAGGCACGTATTTCAAACATGACACATCGCCGATGTGTACATGTTGTAAAGCAAGAAACAAGGCAGCATGTGTAGAGATGGTTCAAAACATGTGTTTAATGTTTGCGCGCATATGTACATACATGTAATGTTCATGTATTCATATTTATATAAGTATAACGTAGTCATACACACTCAGCGTTGCAAACCCATACATCAATATCTGTCACCGCCAAGAGAAATACAACAAGAAGAAATATCGTAAACAGAACCACGGGAACCAGTCTTCCCAGTTTTTAAAAAATGAAGCATACAGCTCTATGGGTGAAGACCGACGTTACCACGTAAATTCTTACACCGTTAAATACATCGAAACGTCGCTCGAAGCCTTAAACTTTTGTTGTTTTTTTTTATTGTTGCTCGTTTTTTTAATTCTTTTTTATGGGGTGGTTTGGTGTAGGTCTCGAAATGTAAAGAATGGAAATATGTATCTGAAATACAACTTCTCCCTTATGTATACGGTGTTTAGCACCAGTCCCACGGTTCTTGCATAAACGTACCACGGATACATGAGACAAGAAATACCATCATGTGGCAGCAACACTGATATGAAAATACGATCATCAATATACATAAAGTTCACAAAACATGCACTTCATCGTACTCTCAACAAATTTGGTAATGGTAAACAGAGCAGTATCATGCGAAGTGGTTTTTGACGTTGGATGACCACGCCAACCCAGATCGAAATACAAGACTAGTGGTAAGGAAACTACTGTCACCATAGCGCATGCCCCACAGTTCAGGTAAATAACGTCCACTCTCGCGTATGTGCAACAGGTGTAGGACAGAAAGTGTTTGCGCGATTATGTATTACTACCTAATAATGAACAATTCAGCGGATGTCAGCCAATAACATAACGCACACGACTTTGTATAACAAGCTGAACTAGACACTTAGTTGTACGCGGCTTATGTGACCCGTAGTTCGCATGCATGATTAGAGGACGGGAGATGCGACTTGTTTGGAAACACATACGACTGACATCACAAACTGCTTTTTAACTCCAGGGCCTCGTTCTTCAAAAAAATCTTAGCATTACGACTTATAGACGAATCTGATGGATATACGTTTGTGTGTGTCTATGTTGAAAACCTGCTTTGGTATGAAAAACCTGGGCCTCAGTTAACTCGCCTGTACTGAATCTCCAAGGATCTTAGCATTACTGTAAAGATGACTTATAGACGCGAAGCTCTGACACGGACTGGACATACATGTGTGTGTCTATGTTGAAACACCTGGTTACTGGTATGAAGAAACCTGTTTTACAACTTACGGGAACCTAACCCAGATATTTACTCAGATATTTACTCATGAAATAACCTTCAGACTTACACGCCTGTACTGAATCTCCAGATATTTGATGATAAAATAACCTTCAGACTTACACGCCTGTACTGAATCTCCGGATATTTACTGATGAAATAACCTTCAGACTAACACGTCTGTACTGAATCTCCAGATATTTACTGATGAAATAACCTTCAAACACGTCTGTACTGAATCTCCAGATATTTACTGATGAAATAACCTTATACACGTCTGTACTGAATCTTGAATCACACCATACCTATCTGAGTTGAAAAAGCAGTTTATGTTGTTGACTTTATGCGGAGTACAGCTGACTAAAATTAAAAATATTAACGGGTTCAGATTGATCGACAAATTGTTACTGTAACAGTTATATCTGGGCAAATATACTCAGTATCTCTAAATATACATGTAAGTAAGAATTT